AAAGATTTGGGAAGACCATAGTTGTCAGAACTAGACATCTATAATGGGAGAAATTCAAGTTAGTTGATTTAAGTCCTTAATATAACACCCAAACTGAAATATTAAGGCTAGGACCCAACACAATATTCTACAATTTGGAAAAGGGATGTTGTAATCCAATTATAAAATATTTGAAGGTAGGTAAATGATGATTTACCAATTTCCACCATGAAAAACGAAAATGAATTTTAGGTTTTAAATGAATTGAAATTCCTAGATTCTTTTTAGATTCATTGAACTTTTCAATGGCATGTTTAATCTCGATTATGCTCTTTCAAAGTTTGTGACTAGGATGCCGATGATCACAAACAAGGTGTAATAACCATGCAAACTAGCTTGGTACACTTAATGTTACAAATCATCTAATCAATGTACCGGTTAACTACACACGCTCCATTGATCCATGATTAACATCAAGCTACCATTTGTCACACACTGTCAGTCCCAGATCAGTGTGCCGGTTAACCACACACGCTCCACTAACGACTTAACAAGGTGCAAAGTGCAATTTCATGGGTTAGCACCAAACTCACATTTTTCCTAAGTAACTAAGATTGAGAATTTATAAGTGTTTAGTTACTTGGCATTTTCATTATACTTTTAATGAGAATTATTGTCTTATCCTACCTGTTCGGCTAACGACCCTCCACTAGTCAAGGAAGCGGTAGGTGAGAGTGGACACCCATTAAACCACCATTTTATAGGCAGTATCCTTATACCCCCTTATAGAATGAGGCCTACTAACAGTAAGACCGACCTTTTACTTATACATATAATATATTAAACTTTTTAAATTTATATAGTATAAGGGTGTATTTTACACATTTAAAATACTTGGTGGTTTAATCTATTAATAAATTATACTTTGAATTTAATTAATCTTAAACCATGTTATTATGGATTCATTAAACTTCTCTTTTAATTAAACACTTTAATTAATTTAATAAAGTCCATAAGGTGTAATTGAACTATTCAAAGCATCTAGGTTATTAAAAATTCAAAATTAAAACTATTTAATTAATTTTTATGTTATAAACCCAAAAGTTGCATCTATTGAAACCTTTCAGTTACAAGAGTTAATGTTTTCATAATTTGAGATGTTTCAAATACAAAACTTGAGGGCAAGTCTTGTAACTCTTGAAAACCTTTTCATTTCTGTAACTTATGAGTTTAATGTCATTTTAATGGATGAGACCTTTCATGTTCCATAACTTGAGGACAAGTTATGGAAGTCACTAAAAACATTTAGATCAATTTTAACAAATAGAATTATCCTATAATCTAGGATTGATCTAATTTAACTCATAAGGCAAGATAATTCATATCAACAATTTACAAGTAACTTTGTTTTTCATATAAACCAACAATTATCTTTGGATTGGATGACTATAATCACTACCATATCAGAAAAAACAGATTTTATGATACAAAACAATTTGTGGTAGTGATCCGAATCCAATATAGGCCAAAAACCTCAAAAATTTGTCATCAGCCAGTGCAACTCGTCGAGCCAGGCTTTAGACTCGTCGAGTTCATCAATGGACTCGATGAGTTCAGCCTGGCTGAAGGCCATTTTCAGTTTGCTTCAACTTTAAACAATGAACAATGCAACTATATAACAAAAAACTACCCATGGCTCTAATATCATTGATAGGTTTTGTGTACTATAACACTCATATGGTGCACATACAACCCTAATAGCTTTGGATTTAAGTTTTATCTAGTTATAAATGCAATAAAATTTCCAAAGCATGAAGCCTGCAACTAGCATACAATTTTGACATATAACTCATAAAATCAAGTGAGAAGTATACCTCTTTATTGTAGCTTGTAGTTTTGGCCTTTTAAGAGCTTAGCACCTCAAGTGCGATGCCTCAAATGGTTCACAAACACCATGAACAAAGGAGGACTTTGAGAGAGAGGTTAAACATCACCAAAATTATCTAGGGTTTTCTTAAAACTCTTAGGGTCAACCGATTTTGGCTAAGGGGTGACATTTATATAGTGTAGGATTCCAAGAGTCTTGGGTAAACCCTAATTCATACACTTGGGTTATGATTCATATCTCATGTCGGATAATTCTTCATGGATACTTACATAAACTTAGCTCATCATGGATCAATAGCCCAAACACTATATATATATATATATATATATATATATATATATATATATATATATATATATATATATATATATCAATGATTTACATAATCAGTCCGCGTTTTAATTAGTCTCTTTTGATCACTAAATTAATTTTTGATCAATACTAATTAAATATTATGATTTATCAATTAATATATTAAACTTGTAATATATTAATAAGTCATAAATAACTTCTTTTTCAAATATTCATCCTATCAGATTGTTCTGGTGAAGGCAACCCAAATAGACCATGCTACTATCGGGTCAAGTACATACCAATTATCATTATGGTCTTAGGCACCTAATCCAATAGTTCAGCACGGGCTAATTTTGTGTTCAGCAGTTAGGACGAGACGTTATCTTCATCAGGGTTGTTCTGGATTTGTCTCCTATGTTATGGATACCCGGGAGAAGGGTAAGGTGACTGTGGATGATGTACCAGTTGTTTAGGAATATCTGGATGTGTTCCTGGATGACTTTCCTGGAGTGCCTACGGAGAGGCAAGTGAAGTTTCAGATTAACTTGGTTCTCGGTGCGGCTTCGACAGCCAAAGCACCTTATCGGTTAGCACCTCTATAGATGTCGGAGTTGTCTACACAGTTGCAGGAGCTATTAAACAAGGGAATATACGACCAAGTAGTTCTCCATGGGGAGCTTTGATCTTTTTTTGTAAGGAAAAAGGAAGGGTTGCATCGGATGTGTATCGATTACGGGGAGCTGAATAAGCTAATGGTGAAGAGCTATTATCCACTCCCGAGGATTGACGATTTATTTAACCAACTTCATGGTCCATCTTGGTTTTCCAATATTGGTTTACATTCAGTTTATAATCAGATAATGATCAGAGAGTAGGATGTGCAGAAGGCGGCCTTCCGAACTCGTTATGGTCATTACTAGTTCGTGGTAATGCCCTTTAAGCTCACCAATCCTCCAGCCGTATTCATGGACCTCATGAATCGCACATGCAGACCCATGTTAGATTGGCTTGTGATTTTATCGATGGCATCCTTGTCAATTCTAAGACCCAGGAGCTGCATGATGAGCATCTGAGGGAGGTATTGGAAACCCTGAGGAGGAAAGACTATATGAGAAGTTCTCCCAGTGTGAGTTCTGGTTGTGCGAGGTGCAGTTTCTGGGGCACCTTATCAACAAGAACGGTATTCTGGTAGATCCGGCCAAGGTTAAGGTGGTGATGAGATGGAAGGTTTCAAAGTCTCCAACTGAGATTCAGAGTTCTCTTGGATTGACAGGCTACTATAAAAGATTTATATATATATATATATATATATATATATATATATATATATATATATATATATATATATAGTATTTACTATAGGTAATCCATATCATTAAGATAGTTTTGATTGCTTTACTGAATTCATTATTATGTTGCTGATGAAAAAAATCAAGGTTCTATATAATGTAAAGCGTAATTTGGTGATAATGTCAAACCTTAAGTTTTAACGAGTCTTGATGAGTCACTCCGTTTGTAAGACAGGATTTAAGGTGACAATTTTGTATATAATTAATAATTATATATATATTTTAATATTATTCATTTATATATACATATATAACTTAAAACAATAATTTGTTGAAGTTTGACGACAAATACAAACCTTGAAATCATGACGTGTCAGTTTTTAGAACCTTGAAAAAAACACATAACTAAAAATAAATTAAATCAATTAGTTTTAGAGATAGGAATAACTGTTTATAAAATGAAAACAACCAAAATCCAAAAGTAAAGAAAAAACCATCTTAAAAAGCAAAGAAAAAAACATAACCAAAAAACGAAACCGAAAGAAATATGAAAAAACAAAAAAAAAAATAACTTAAAAAGTCGATTTCTATTAAAAATAAAACAAAAAACTCAAAAGTAGAAAGTAGAAACAAAAACAATTATTAGGTTTAATCGTAGAACTATAAACGAACTAAACATTCGACGGACCTTTAAAATGGATTACGTTTATTTAATAAATGAACAAACGTAAATACGATTTGCCCTGTAATTATAAAATATAACTTTTAGTGATATTAACTTGTAAGTCGCTGCTTATTTGTATGATAGGATATAGTGGGTTATATCAGTTTTTAGTGTAGTTTCCGACCAAATAATGAGTTTTCCGGTCAAATATGAATTTTCTGGTTATTCTTCTTCGACTAAACATTGATTTTCCGGTGAATTTTACGAGTTCTTTAAGGCCACGCATTTTTTCAGAAACAAATCAAAACTGGATTTTTGGGTTTTCAATTTCTAAGATGTTTGGGTTTTCAAGTAGGTTTTCGATTTTAGGTTCATTTTTTCATCAGATTTGCCATGGTTCTAAAATATATAACACACCAAATCTGAAAAACCGTTTATCAAATTTCTGGAGATTTTGTTTCATTAAAGTTGGGTTTCATCAGAATTCGAAAAATTCACCGGCAAATCCATGTTTTGCCGGAAGAGAAGATAACCTGATTCATATTTGTCCACAAAATTCATAAATCTAAGTTCTAGTATAAAAATTTGTAAAAAATCAAAATTTAGTTACCTACAAGTATAAGTTCTAATATAAAAATTTGTAAAAAAAATCAAAATTTAGTTACCTACAAGTACTTTTATTATCCATCCCTATTTTATTGTGTCCAATAATCCATTTCAACAACATTTAGAAAATATAAATGATCGAATTTCTTTATAAAATATATATTTTCAATGAACGAATGAAACATAGCTGCAGCAGCAGCATATTATAAAAATAAACAAATAAATAAAACATACAAAATTAATTTAATATAATTTTAAATCTCTTTCTTCAACACAAGCCCTAAACTTGGAACGGTGGTGTCCACACCGGCTTAGAGTTCTCCTCCGCCTGTACCTTCCCTCCGGTCTGGCTGCCTTCAACAAAAGCATAATACCTCAAGAAGAAAGCAAGAGTCAAAACCAACCATTCCAAACAGAACATCAAAACACAGAGCCCACCGGCCATCTTCAATATCACCGCCGCATCATCCTCCCTAACATACGACTTCAACGCCGCCAAGAAATTCGAAGTCGTCGTGAAAATCAGAACAGATACAGATCCCTGGAAAATCGCGGTGAGGACAGTCGCCACCATGTGGGCTGCATACCACTTGTTTGACCCGGCAGACACCGCGTTGCAGCCTGAGATGGCTCCGGCGATGGTGATGATATGGAGGAGGACAAGCAGTCCGCCGGAGACGGAGGGGAAAAGGCGGAGGGAGAGTGTGAGGAAGATGCAACTGGAGGCTGCTCCCAGTAAGACGTAATTGCTGATGAGGAAGAGCTTGTGGGTCTTGTAGTGTGATTGAACATCGCTTGAGAAACCCATTTGCTTAAACTTGTTAATTTTTCCGGGGAGCGGTGGCGGTGTTGGTGGCGATGTAATTACAGTTGCGGCGATGCGTGGAGATGTTAGATGGTGTTGAAGAGAAGGATTTAGTTGACGGTGATGGTGTCTGTGTGTGTATATATAGATAGTTAGATACAGAGACATTGAGGACCGTTGGTCTGATAACGGCTAGTTGGAGAAATAGTTGTCCAACGGCTATGAAGAAGATTCTTGTAATTTGTTTCTTTTTCTAAGAAGAAAGGGTTGTTTACCTTCTCAAATTGACACTCAAATGACACATTTATATAGAGAATTAAAAAAACTATTAAGGAAATTTTGAGAAAATCAGTTATCAGTTACATTTTATATATTTTTATTGAAAATCCATTATTTTATTTTATTTTCCTTTTAGAAAATCATTGATGTTTATAGATACTTTAAGAAAAATTATTTTGAACATGTTTGTAGCTAAATCAAAGGACTAGCGGTAGGACAGGAATCATTGGCTGGGCGAGCTGGGCCACGGTCCTGGGCATCACAATAATAGGGGTATCAGATTTGGTCCACTTATTAGAAATCTAATATTATTTTGGCCTAAATTTTGATCCACCAAGTTCAAGTGAGTCCGGTAGTAGGTTATCACAATATCGACAAAAGAAAACTAGGACGGAGCGCCCAATTTCAAACATCAGAAGATGAGGAGACGACCTTGCTTCATGCTACTTAAGGAAATGAGGCGACATGACTATTTCACGAAATCAGACTCTGTCGTTGCCCCTCAGACTCTGTCGTTGCCCCTCATACCTGCTATCATCGATGGATTTAAATGACTACTATTGGTATTTGTTGGACAATCTCGAATTGGGAAGTTTAAAGTGTAATGTTATTTGGGCTATTTGACCTTTTTGTCATTCACTCTACTCCCGGTATACTTTCGCTTCTTTGGTGGGGCTGCTGTTGCCCTCTGTTTGTTTGTTTTTTTTGGGCGGCGGAATGACAAAGGTGGTTTAATGACACTTTTGCACCTTATTATCTTGTATTTTAAACTGATGTTGCTCGGAAACTTCCTTAAAAATTGGACTTATTTGCCTCTTGATGATTGCAAACTTCTAAAGAGTTTTTTGGAAGTTCTTGTGCTTTGTTGAAGTGGTAAATATGGAGTTTTGACCATTATGACCTTGTCCATTTTAATGGTTGATGTTGTCATATTAGCTTTTAAAAGAATTTATGGTGTAATTGTTGGTATTTGTTATTCTTTTTTACAATCAAATCAAAACTTGATTGGTATTTTTTTGTGAGGCTTTAAGAGTTCATTGCTATTATTTTATGGTTGAAGATTCGATTACCTAACTAGGTACCTCTCAAATTGGCATTCTCTCTTTCGCACTTTAATGTTTCTGTATATTTTGAGTAATTGATTGAACTCGTTGTATCTTTGTTCAACTTGCTGTTGTCTTTTTTATTTCTATATATTTGTTTTCCATTAAAAAAAAACTATTCTAGTGGTCATAATTGGTAAGATCTCTTAAAATCATCGACTAAAATCCTTAGGCTCTTTATGTACATGAACATACAACGCTTTAAACTTTAAGACTATATTATGCAGCCAAATGGAAATGAGGTTTTTACAAACTAATATTACTTCTACTACTGTAAAAAGAAATGAGGATTTTACAAATGGAAATGAGGTTTATACAAACTAATATTACTTCTGCTGTAAAAGGGAATATTTTAATTTATGTGGTCTTTAAAGTTGCCAAAGTCAAGTTTGACACTAATTTTTATGTGTTTACTCATTACATTTGTTTATCTCTTGTTCATTAGATTTTGGAATTGGATACATAAGATAACTTGTTTCTTAATGGTTGGAACTAAAGTGGGTATACTAATTAAACTAAAGATAAAAGTCAAACGTTATATATATATATATATATATATATATATATATATATATATATATATATATATATATATATATATATATATTATATATATATATATATATATATTCTAAAATAACGTATTTAATTGCTAATTATTTGCTAACTATTTTGTTCTTTAATTATTATATTACATTTATGTAGTTCACACTATTTTTTATATATCCTAAAATATAGGGGCATGATTTATTATATCTTGCCTTGGACATTGAAAACCAATGGATCGGACCTGAGTATCATTTTATCATTTTTATAAAGTTGTGATCTCATTTAAAATATGATGTTTTAAAAGGTAATTTACAAATAGATTAAATACTTTTTTATTGTCGATGATAAAATAATATGATATAGCTTATTATGCTTTCTGCAATACCCACAATGAGAAGGGTTGTGGTAAGTTGTACGTGAACACCACCCTGAACCTTCGTGGTCGAGCATGATTGTGATGATTTCTGAAGCCAAAAACGGCGTACAACGTACAATGAAAACTATTTACTCTTTTGAATCTTTGTTGATCATGTAACCACTACTTTGGCATTTTTTTATTAAATCTTTACCTATATAAATACCACTATAAACATTCGTATATTTCACACAACTCTTCTTTTCTTTTATTCATATTCACACATTTGTGTTGCTCTTTCAAAAACCATGGCTCCCAAAAGGATGAATTAATCGAAAGATGAAGAAAAGAAGTTAGCACAAGCATGGGTGTCGGTTTCGGAAAACGGAGATAGTCAAATCTCTAGAGATTTATTTGGGAAAAGTTGGAAGTGTTTTCTATGGTTTAATGGATTCTACAAGTCGAAATCTCGACAGAATATGTCGGAAGTGGTGCGATATGAGGGTAATGTTACTAGTTCAATGGAATTTACAACTTTGTTATAAACAATTGTAACGCCTGTGTTTCTGGGCTTGTCATTAATGTTGATATAATAGTCTAGGTAACCTTTGTAACCTGTTTTGAAATAATAAAAGTGTATTATTTGAGTATTATGTGTTTTGTGCTTAACTATGTGACTTAATTGAATTAAGAATAAAAATAAGCGTCAAAATGAAATGTTATATCAGCTCGATATCTATGGATAATGTTGTAGTAGTTGAAATGAGGTTTCCGAATATATAAAGAATGCCGAAATCCGAGTTATAACGAAGAAGTTATGACATGTCGAAGTTTCGCGACAGAACCGGCAACGCTAAACGACGTAAAAAGTGAAATTTACGTTAGAGCGATATTTAGCCTTAGTAATCTAAACGAAAGTCTTAGAGTTCGTTAAACCGAGAGCGTGCATAAAAAGAACGCCCAAATCGGATTTCGTATGAGGAAGTTATGATTTTTTGAAGTTTCGACTTAGCAGTATGCAGTCTGAATACTTGATTTGAGATCGAGCGGTATTTAGCCGAAATAATCTAAACGAGAATCGAGGATCTCATTAATTGTAGTAAAACGATAAAAAGATAGGCGAAAACGGACGTCGGATGAAGAAGTTATGAATTTATAACGGAGTTTTCCTGTCCCGGCCTACTAAAATAAATTCAAAATTAGCCGACGGAGTCTAAACGAAAGTTGTAGACCGTAGTCTCACCTACGCGGGGATATAAAGAACATCGAAAACGGAGTTTGTATGAGGATGATATGAATTTTTGAAGTTTAGTAAATATTTTCGATATTAAATTTAAATATAAATTTTCGATATTAACCGGGGGGGGGGGGGACGGGGGGGAGTCACCGGGCTTATCCAGGTTATGCCTAGCATAACCTAAGATTACGCCCAGCGTAATGTGGGTTTCAGCGCCTTATAAAAGGAGGTCGAGGCTGCCTTATTCCTTTGATCATTTCTCTTATTTCTCTCGCATTTTTGCATCGTTTTTCGTGCAAGAATTATCCCGAACCCCCTGTATCATTCCTGAGCCCCGAAGCCCCAAAGATCCCGAGAAGTGTGATTCCCGAGCCGAAGCTCTGCCCGCGAGGATCCCGGTTTTTGTGAAGATCTTCCAGATCTACCGAAGAACACTAGTTCTACAAGTCGTAGTGTTGTCCGATCTCTTCTGATCAAGTGAGTGTGTAGTTAACTTCTTCTAACGCATAATTATTAAGTATTTTATACGAAATACGTGTTATGTGTGTATATTTGGTTGTTATATGCGTGAATGTATATTCACTTTCTTCTATCTCATAGATCCGATTTATTCTCTATGAAATATGTGTTATGTGTGTGTGCCTCATCTGTTATGTGGAATATGTATTGATTGAACATGCTATACAGGTTTTAAACTATGTATAAAAATATATATTTTTATCTACTAATATGTTGGGTAGAACATGGGTAGATAGTTGATGTGTGATAAACAGATGAGAGGCCTCGATGTTGTTGTTGTTGTTGACCTACTCATCTAGCGGAGTATGGATGACGACCACAGACTCTTTCTAGACAGTCTTGTGGAATGCTAGCATGTTCATAACAAGTAGGTGTTGTGAACGAGCTGTTCACCGGTGTACTCTATCCCCCTCATGGTTTCCTTTAGGATATCTATTGTTGAGGAAACCCCTTAACAGTAATGTCCGTCCCGATGAAAATCCTAGATTAGGTCCCTTGAGATAGATGTTGTTTTAGGGACGTAAAGTGAGGATAACGGGAATGGGTAATCGGGTTATTGTTGGTTGGTGAAATTAAATATAATTTATTTATTGTGGGTTGAAAACCCTATATGCTCACCAGACTCCCAAGTCTGACCCACTCAATTTTATTTGTATTACAGGAAGTGGCGCAAGGGCATAAGATGGATGAATCATCGAGTTGTTTTGTTTACAAGTCTGTATATGTATATATTTGTTGAATGACTTGTAATGTTATCGTTTATGCTTTATGGTCTGTATCGGAACATGACATCCCGAGTTTTTTTTTTTTTTTTTGGAAAGGGAACTTCCCTAACGAGGGTTTCCGGGCCAGCTTTCGCGCACCGACTAATCCCCCGCTGCAAACATAAAGCTTTGCTTCATGCCCTGGAGTCACTGCAGGCGAACCTCCATGGCCACAAGGGCTGAGTGGTGCTAGGATTTGAACATGGGTCAATAGGACATCCCGAGTTTTGATTATATAATGAAAATGCATCTCTTGATGAAATGCTTTGATAAATATTATTTTATCATATTTTGTTTTTGGGAACAAATTCTACATCTCTTTTAAATCAAAAGGATTTACTCTGAAATTATTTCAAAAAGCA